TCATCCTTTCTATTTGGCAGTATGGCTCCATCTTGCCATGAAACCCACAATAAACAAGGAGACCCCTATGAGTTCATAAAATAGATATAAACCATAACTTCATGGGAAGCGACACCATCTTGCCCACAGACGATAATTAACTGAAGTACACAATTACAAAAAAATCATAAAAAGTTAGCGTTAAAATAATATTTGTTGGTGCCACATGTGTATGGTAAAGTTTATGGAAGAGACCTGAGCGTATTTTTGTATGAAAAAATAATTAAAATGATTTTTTTTACTTCAAACAGTTTTTTGACCGCGGACTTTCCGGGTAATTTTTTTTCTTAATTCCAACGTCTTTTGAACAGCGCCATCTATAGATAACTTCAGTAGTGTATTGTTAAAATAACATAAATTTGACTCATCTTTGTGCTAAATTTTGTATTCATAAAATAGTTTAGGCATTATTGAGTAGTCGCATATATATTTTATATTAAAAAGTTTAAAAAATACCTATTACAAACAGTAATAGGAAATAATTGGATAATGTTAATACATTAGAATTTCAATTCTTTTTCAATGTATTATATTACGTATTGTTGACATATTTTTCATATCTATATAGGACAATAGTGATGTTTATTAGAAGATAGAGCATTTAATATTAAAATAGCGAAAAAACATTAAAAAAACCCACATAAAAGCTTATATAGTCCAAATGATCAACTCTTACGTAATTAAAAAACTTAACTAAACCGTATTCGACTTGACAGATTTGACAGTTTCATTACAAAATATTAATTTTTTTTTTACTTTTTGTAAAAAAAATAGATTTATATGCACTGCCCATGCATAAACGAAAGGATCAAAATTCGTTACTTAGATTAGAAGAAATAAGCGCACAAACAGACATACATTGCGATTATTATATTATTAAAGAACGAAATGAAAAATGAATAATAAAATTGAAATTTTATTATTCATTTTTCTTATTATATTTTTATTATTATATTAAACGAAGTTATTACAGTCACATCCAGTCTGGACTATATATTATTATCTTTGATACAAAACCACATGTCTTAGGTGTGTTACCGATAATACAGAAGATTTGTGATAGACGGAGAAGTTCTTTAGATAAAGCTACACTTTAAAACACTTAAGTGAATTGGTGTTTTTGTATTGTTAAAGGTGTCATGTCAAATAAAAAATATTTTAAGTGTACTATATTTAAATTATTTTACTTTTTTTTAACCTAAAATTATCAATACAGTTATATATAAAAGTGTATTCATTACTAATACGTCAAAAGTAATAAAACGATAAGAAAATTTGAATATTTATTTGATAACATTGTTTTATAAAATATATACTATCATATTTTGGTCTTTTCTAATATATTTTTTATAAATATACATAAATAAGTAACTGCAAACTGATACATATATGCATACATCTATGAGACTTCTTTATAAAAATTAAAATTCTGTGTTAACATTTTAAATTATTTTATTACAGTATTGCCGCATCCATTAATAACAACTTCCTTTGAAACCACATGGCTATGACAGATGCGGGACATATTATTGTGGTCGATCTATTTGTGAAATATGGCGATAGCGTACACCAGATAAGTGACGAATAGTAGATAAATGGAAATAATGATTTATTAAATTTGTTTACAATTCAATGACATTACAGTCTGGTGCTCTTAAATTATGTGTATTGGGTATGGCTTTTTAACCCTTTTCATCCCTTAGGAAATTTTAATTGAAAATATATTTTTCGCAGTGTCCTAATGTCCTTACAAGAATGAAATATTGTACTCGTACTCGTATAACCCAAAAATAAAAAAAAAATTATGTGTCATATGTTTTACAATACAAAAATCGATTTTTGATCGATTTTAATGATTGGTTAAATTAGCATCAAATTAAAATTAAATTAATATTAAACACAACTTTTGTTCTCATCAAATTAAAATATTTGCATAAATTAGTATTCCATATTACAATAACGATTACTTTTACATTTAAAATATTAAGTATGTGAGCAGCATAAGATACTTCGAAATTGCCTCGGTATCGATCTCATCAGTTTGTCACTTTCCACGTGTTATTTTATAATAAACACATAATAACTTGAAAACGGTTGGACTGATGTTGCATTTTTTTATTATTAAGTATTAGAAACACTGCCAAAATTTTAGCCTGGTAGGATTCTACCAGAAGGGATAAGCTCTTAAAGCCCACCCACTACGCGACAAAAATCACTCGCCGCCGTTGTAAAAACCAACCGTATATAATGGTCGTGAACGAAAACTGTTTTTAAAATTGTTTGTCTTCAATATCAAGTTACACTGAATTGAAAATCATCTTTAAAGTTTGCCTGTTTCCCATTGATTGTTTTTTTCTAATTTGTATGGGATATTCCTTCAAAGATAAGCTAGAATTCTATGAAGAAGATTTATCTCTACATATAATAAAATTCTGACTGAGTCGAATCTGTACATTAAATATTTTTTGGAAAATTTTATTGAAATGTCAGTCGTAGTCAGTCAGTCATAGTCATTATAAGGCCTAATCTATAGTTTTTAGAATTTTTGTCTGTCTCTCTGTCTGTCTGTACTAATATTTTTTACCACGGAAAAATATCTCGTTTCTGAGAAAAAATACAAAAACTGCATTGAGAGTAAACTAATATGTAAAACCTAAGAATTGGCTTTTTGGTCATCTGAAAGCGGGTGAAGACGCGGGCAATGCTAGTTGTAGATAAAATCGTCTCAAGATCAACTAATTAGCGTAATAGCGAGTAGCATAAAACGCTCAAATTGAAAATCTCTTCCTTTTCTTAAGTCGGTAAAAATATATATTTCTTGAATACACATCAAAACATAACCTTAGATCAAATGTATTGATATTTGATATAATATATTCATTTATTAGATATGATCGTTAGTAGATTGCTGTAAATGTGCATAACGAATTAATTGATGTAAACAAAGATTGAAGTGTTAGTTAAATTTTATAGTTGTTTTAAAATAATATTAGCTTTATATTCTTTATTGACGTATTGTAGAATAGAAGATTACAATATACTTACTAAGTAAGTAATTTATTTAGAAACTACTCGGTGGTGTAGTGGCTAGCATGTACGGCTGCACACTCGGAGGTCCTGGGTTCGAGTCCCGGGTCGGGCACTTGTGTCTGCGCGTACTCTTGTGCACTATAATATCTCCTGCGCAGTTGGCTAGTCTCAATGAGATTGGCCGCCGTGGCCGGAATCGGTCAAGGGAACATTATTATTATTAATGTATTTAGAGTTTAAGATGAAGAGCACATTCTCTTACTCTTCTATTTTGGCGATAGAGCTTCAAAATCAATAGCAATAAATTATATTCTCCTATCCATCAACTAATATTTTGATGCTTAACAATGTAGTTACTTTCCGTCTAAAAACCAAAAAAGCAAAACCTTATCTAAATACAAAATTTGATCCAAATCGTTAAAGCCGTTTCCGAGACAAGTACACGAAATTTTGTATATTTTCGATTACACAATAAATTTTGTATTGACATAAATTTTGTATATACATACATATATACAAGAATTGCTCATTTAGTAATATATTAAAATTAAGATACTAATACATAAATAAATTACGTTCTCGCTAACATAGCTGAACATGTTTCGATGAAATTTGGCAAAGTCATAGATTGCTTAATAGGAATGAACATAGGTTTGACTAAAAACTAGTAGAGCGGTAGATACTCTATATTTAGAATTGGCATTTTTATTTAGCCCTTTTTTAGTTGCCAGCTAACCACGGGCCTTTCCTGAATATGAGGGTGATCAGGCCATAGTCCACCATTCTTTGTGCGGATGGCGGACTCCAGATATTTTTCCAAAACTAGTTAGGTTTTCTCAGACATGGTTCCCTCATGATATTTTCCTTCACTGTAAGATAAGGGGTAAATCATGCTGGAAAATGCGCACATGAAAATATCAGGATTGATATCGAGATTTGAATCCGCTTCACTTGGTTTTCCAACCGAGCCCGTTGCCATTGTTCTACCACTGCCTTTTAGAATTAGCTGTTCAAGTAGCTTTTATTACATTAAATGAAAATAATTAAATATGCGTTTAAATTTTAATAACACGTAACTCAACTAATAAGTATATATTTTTATAATAAATTTTTATTGCTCGTCTCCCACCCGTTGAGATATATTGACTTATGTATCCGCTAGCTTAATTTCAAGTAAGACTGCCTGTCTTACATTAATTTTAAAGTAGAGTCGTTTACAAGCGCCTGCTATAAATTTTCTTTATGTTTTATTCATATAAGTTATTTAGTATATATTTTATTTATATAAGAAATGTTAAAGTTTGTGAATGTTTGTTATTTCGTTATACCGTAATAGCTTTTATATAAAACTATCTTTTCGGATTTTTTGCGGATTTGTTTTGTTTTTTGGTTCACGAAGCATCGAAAGCTTTACAGCAATCGTGGTCTTGGTAGAGACTAAAGTTTTGGATATCTCATAGGTCATTATATAGTTGTCACAGACAGTACTTACCCATAAAATTATATATATGTATATGATTTCAAAAATATAAAAATGACACCAAAATACCTTACAATATATGTTAATTTAAACGTAACAATCGAATGAATTTTTGTGAAATTTAAATTATTATAGGGATATACGTTTATTATTATTTTTTGTACCTATTTATATATTTTTATTAGCTTAGATACTTAGAGTTTTCCCACGTTTCGTGATCATGATACTATATAATAAATATTCTATCGTTTTAAAAAAGAGATAAAAATGTATCTCACGACATTAATGATTCTGATTTGAAATAACATCAATTTTTGACATACTATAGCTAATATTTTTTTTAATTACTTTTATTTTTTTTTACTAAAATTAACATTTTTTCTTTCCAGATAATGCCACTTAACAGATAATACAAGTGTGCAGAACTGACCATGCAACGTATATGTGAGCCATGGCATTTAATATAGACCGCGTACGTGGGGATGATTCAAAACTCAAAAATAGATTGCACAGGAAATGGGCCGGGCCGGATGTGTACATTTGGATGCTGTTGACTTTTTCTCTCGGTTGCCATGGTTACCAGGAACAGAGATTTGCGATGGAGCCGCAGGATCAAGTATGTATTGTTATAATTCTTTATGTTATTATTTCTATTTTAATATATTTATTAATATTGTGAGCAGTTTTTTTTTGTTTTACGCTACGTTTATCAAATAGGGATATTAATATTATTAGATAAGTTATATACTTTCTTATTATATATTGTATTGCCCAAATTATTATAAATTATAAAGTAAATATGCAAAAGTCGTATAGGCTAATTTTTATCCTAGAAAAATGTTCGGTTCCCGTGGGATAGATTTGATTTTGTTGTTCTAGACGCGAACACGAGCGAATCGAGGGTGAGTTACTAGTACTTAATTTATAAAAAAATTCATTAGAAATGTACATATTTTGGTTTGTACTCTAAAAACATTTACGAGTCTTTTGGCCTGAATTGATAAACGCTGTCGTTAGTAACTCGTAAAATATTTTATAACGGCTGGTTTTATAGCCGTTAAATTAAATTTAAATTATTGATGCAAGAAGTGCAACGGCTACTTCACTGCGCTCAAACTAATTAGAATACTAGATTTTAAAACAATAAATTTAAATTTATCATTCCTTTAATCATTAATTTATAATATTTCATTACATTCATACTAGCGTTTCTCCGTAGTTATGTCCGTGTAGTTTTTCTATGTATATTTGCTCTCATCTAAAGCCTTAAAGATTTTTCGCAATAAATAGACTATATTTAAAAATAATTTTTCAAATTGAACTTGTAGTTTCAGAGATTAGTGAGTTTTATATGTAATAAACACTTCAGCTTTATTTATTTGTATAGATATCTAAAAATGTAGAGTATCATATATTTCTGATTGATAGTTACGGAGATTAGCGCGTTCAAATAAACGAACAAGCAGACAATCAATATTTTCTTTAGCTTTATAATACTAGTCTTGATCCTTCCAAATTATAAAGACGATCGAATCGAGATATTGACTAACTCAAGGACTTTTCATTACATATTACTACAGCTACGAAAACAACTATACGACTTATTCAGTCTCTAAGAATGAATTGTTTAGGAAAGCAAAGAGGTTTTTTTTGAGCCAGAGACCTCCGTATGCAGAACTCACCTCCATCTCTCCAAACTCACAAGTTTTGATCAAAATCGTATAAATGCTAAAGAATAGAGTAGAGTAGAGTACAAATAGATAAAGAAAGATTAATTAATTTATATATATATATATAGTATAGATTTCTCAGAGATTACATATTTTCCCGCAGTAAAAAGTATCCTATGGTGACCCGGATAACCAGCTATCATTATACTAAATTTCATCAAAAGCTGTCCAGTGTTTGTCTCATGATGCGTTCCCAGATAGACAAAAAATCTAAAAACTATAGATTGGATAATAATGACTATTTCAATAAGATTTTTCAATAAATATTTAATGCACAGATTTGACTTAGTTAGAATTTTATTATAATGTATACATTAGATAAAGAGATTTTATCTAAATATTGTTTGGTAATATTATGTAAAGTTTTATTTTTACCCAAAGCATGGATGGTTTGAACATCTCTTTATATAAATAAAAAGCATAAATTAGTGCTAAAAGCAGATCCTTTTAAAACGTGAATTCTTAAAGCACACGAAAGTTTTATCATAAATTACCATATGTCTGGAATAATTATATTAAATAAATATGGAATAGGACTTAGTGTAAGCTACCTACTTATAATTTACTAGCGGCTCACCCTCGCTTCGCTCGGGTTCGAAAACGAAAAAAAACGTATCCTACAGGAACCGTACATTTTTCTAGGATAAAAAGTAGGCTATGTGTTATTCCAGGCTATAATCTATCTCTGTGCCAAATTTCATCCACATCCGTTCAGCCGTTCTGGCGTGAAAGAGTAACATACATCCATACTTACAAACTCTCATATTTATATTATTAAAATAATAGAGACAGATTAATAAAACCAGCGACCTTGCTGTTATATTTTGTAAACGTTGACTTAATGCGTGGTCTAAGAAGAAGGACGATAATTTTAAAACTGGCTTTGCTTGTAAAGATTACAGTGTAATTGTTTCATTTGATCGGAATATTATGTTAGATAGCTTGCTGTTTCTCAATTATTTACTATAAAATTTATTTTTCAAATTTGATGAAATATTAGTTAAAAAAAATGTCTAAAACCAAAAAAATATATACTTTCATGCTGCGAGTTTAATTAACATAATAATATTTTGTTACATCAAAATTATCACTGATTTAAAAATAGATACGTCACAAACAAAGCAAAGTTTATTTGTTTTTATGTATTACACTAGCTACTTATTCTGGCCGCACTCGATGCAATCCTAGGAATGGATGATATAGGAACGTGTAGAGAATCACATATAAAGAAAAATGTTTTATTTTGACCAAGAACCTTTGCACACAGGACAATCTTAATATATAAATATCTCGTGTCTCGGTGTTTTAATCGCACCCCTCCGAAACGGCTCGACCGATTTTAATGTTTTTTTGTATATTTAGTAGGTATGAAAAGAGATCGTAAAGTATTTTTCACCCTCCTACTCCCACCCCCATTTTTTATCGCAATTTTAGTATTTTTGTATGAACAATGTTATATAAATATTGATAAATAAAGAAGCCAAAGAGTTTTTTTTAGATTAAACACAGGCGTAGCCGAGGGTTCTGCTAGTATTATAATTAGAATATAAATTATACAAAGAAACATTCATTTTTATATATGTAGATATAAAAAACTTTATGTCTACATCAATCGTTAATCTATAATTTTATTTAATTCAATTCAAATATATTCTTTTCATATTTCCCACGCTAATAGTATGCTGGATAGATACCTATATTGTTTATTTGTTAGAACTCGCTTATCTCTAAAACGGTCAAATATCATCAAAATATATAACATCATGTTAAGGAAGACTATAGGATATGTATAATATCATACAACGACCGTTAGGATAGCATATACAAAGCAATAAATATAAGCAATACGAGCAAAACCACGAAACGTGCTAGTTTTATTACATAAACGATACGTTTGGCTCAGTTTGTCGTGACCCCACTTGCTGTGCCAGCAGTCGCGGGATCGAGTCCCGCATCAGTCATGGGTGTTTATATTTTTAATATATATGTATTTAAAGTTTTATGTGTGTAATGTATCAACTATCTGGTATCCATAACACAAGCCTCGTAGCTTACCGTGGAACTAGATGATGCTGTGTGTTAATATCCCAACATATTAAATTATTATTATTATAAACAGCGTAGCACGAGCTTTTAAGACCTAAATATATAATTAACATGTAAGCTTTCGCTAAAAGTCTATAAAATATGCGTTAGAAATGCTTACATTTGAATTTATAATTACTTGTTCATTTACATAGACCTGTATTTAAACATGGTATTTATTTTATAGTGATTATATATTAGCCTTATCTGTTTTGTATCTACTGTTTTAATTGAATATTTTAAGTGTTATATTATAGGTTAACGATCAAATGACCGTGTTAGTGCAATATTAGAAATAAATTCTTAGGGAATTCGAAAATAAATATCAAATGTGATGGGTTCGATTTTTTGTAAATTAGCCATTGATTATGGTTTTTTTAAAGTAAGAGAGCTAAAGAGGACTTCAAGTGTATGATATTTTTATTTTATGTGTTGAATATTACATTTTTTTGGTAGAAAGTGAAAAATTTGTGCAAATGACCTCAAATGCGACTAAAAATCTAGGTAATTTTACAATTTAACTTCTAATACAGTAAGAAAACATCATGTTCCTTTAACACCTCCAGGTAAATTTCTAAGAAATCTATTGTTAACTGACACGCCGGCGTGTCCGCGGTCGTGGAGGGATTAAAATGGTGCAGGCAGTACAACATTTTGCTTATGTAATTTAAAATATATTGTACAAAAATAAAAATTTCGACTGTTTAAAAAGCGAACTAAAAAGATGAAAATAGTTGTCGTATTAACACAGTATGATACAGTCGGAGACATACACGTAGCAAGTCTCATAGCAAGTATAACACTATCTACCTTCAACGTATTCGGATAAAAAGGGCCAATTTCGGATAAAAAAATGTTAAGACCTGTTTCTGTTCAAGCATACTATTAAAAATATTAACGCTGTAGTGCGCTTCCTGTTACTTAACGGTAAAAATAAAAACTGGTAACGAAAGTTGTCAAGGATGCAAATATGACTCAAAAATACTTACATGATGCCCAATACCACTGATAACATAAAAATTTCTTTCTACAATGTGTGCGAGCAACTTAATATAACTCAAGTTAATTCTAAGTGACGTTTGGCTCAGTTTGTAGTGACCCTACTTACTGTGCTAGAGGTCGCAGGTTCGAGTCCCACTAGGGGCATACATTTGTGTCATGAGCACAAATGTTTGTAGTCATGGGTGTTTATACTTATATTTAAAATACAATAAAATACAACCTATATACATATTTTAAAGTTTTATATGTGTAGTGTATTAACTATCTGTTATCCATAACACAATTCGTCGCTTACCATGGAACTAGACGGCGCTGTGAATTAATGTCATACTTGACTACTTTCAACATATTTATTTATTACTAGCGACTCACCCTCGCTCCGCTCGGGTTCGTCCCTGGGGTGGGGTCTGGGAGGACTACCCTTATCCTTATCACTTAGGGGTATGGAAAATAGATAGTAGCCGATTCTCAGACCTACTGAATACGCATATAAAATTTGGTAAAAATCGGTAAAGCCGTTTCGGAGGAGTACGGTAACAAACATTGTGACATGGAAATTTTATATATTAGATTATTTATCTAGTTACAAAATCAATTTAATAATAAGTAATGACAGGCAGTTTTTTTCAACACTTGAAGCCTTTTTAATCAATTCACTTATTAGAAAGTAAACTTATTCTTCAATTAGAATCATAAAGTTCGGTTCAGGAATGGTAAAGATATCGAATAGCATATATATGAAAACATAGACCCTCATATTATTTGAACACAACTTGTTTTGAAGTCGTTCAAAACATTGGTACAAGTTTGAACAAGTTTTAAATGATTGAATAGAAGTGTCATAGAATCGGTCAATAGTCTACTACGACAAAATAAGCTTCATATTCTCTATTGCTTCTCTTTGCTCTATATATATATGTATATATATATGTGTGTGTGTGTGTGTGTGTGTGTGTGTGTGTGTGTGTGTGTGTGTGTGTGTGTGTGTGTGTGTGTGTGTGTGAATTAAGTACATAAAAATAATAAATAAATATTTTGTCTGTATATATTTTATGATATTACCCTTATTTCTTAATGTTCTACGTGCCTATAGTATAAATGGAGAAGTCATGCCCACTGGTTGTGTAGTAAATAGATAGCGTAAACCCAAAAATCTATGTAAGAAGGAATCTAATGAGCTTTATCTTTTACAGAGTGCCATTGTGGGCTCCCGTGTAACACTACCTTGTCGAGTGGAGAACAAAGTTGGGAGTCTTCAATGGACGAAAGACGACTTCGGTCTTGGAACGCATCGCAACCTGAGCGGTTACGAGCGATATGCCATGATTGGAAGCGACGAGGAGGGTAAGATATAACTAGATACCGATAGATAAGTAGATAGAAACAAAGGTAGATATAAAGTTTATTGTATACTATACAAGAAATACCCAGAAGAGAGAAATAAACATGGAATAAAGACAGCTGTGTAATTATGCCGGCAGATAAGCTCTATTCCTTTAAACTAATTATATAATGTATAATTTGTAGGTAGATCCTGTTTGTAACAATATAATTTAATAACTTTTGATACGTTTACATCCTTAGTCTCTTCCGTGATCATGTTTGCTGTAGAATTTGACTCGTCGGGAACCAAAAGTCAAAATAAATCCGAGAGAATATCCGAAAAGATATAAGTTAGAAAAAGAACTGTAAAAGTAATCGAACCTAAAACTAAATATAATTATATATATGTATATATATATATGTAATTTATACATATATAATTATACGTTCTATAAATAAATTATTTGTTTTATAGCAATCTTTATATATATAATTCTTCTGTGAGTGTGTATGTCACTGAACTTCTCTCAAACGACTGGACCGATTTTGATGAAATTTTTTGTGTGTGTTCAAGGGGATCTGGGAATGGTTTAAATTCACAATTTGAATAATAATTTTCATCAAAAAAATTATTAAAAAAAGTTTGAAATTTTCTAATTAAAGACGTGTAGACAGGACAACGTCTGTCGGGTCCGCTAGTATTAATATAATATTGTCTAAATTTAGCAAGAATTTGAATGGTTTTGCCAAAGTCTGAACTATTCAGATTAGAAATCAAGAGGGCTCAGTCAATGTAGAGAGCTTTTGAATGGGGCGCATCTTAACCTTTGACATTTTGGCATTTCTGTTATCGATAACATCGTTAATTTAGTAGAAATTAATTTATTTTATAAATATTTAATAAAAAAATTCATTTTTTTTATTAATAATTAATTGTTATTAAATAAATTAAGTATGGAAAATAGTGACTTCATTTTTAATTTCCATATTTTTACTGCTAGAAAATATGACTTTCTATTACCTACTATGATGTTATTAGACTTTGATAGATTCTTATGTGCAATATAAATGATTATTTTTGCAATAAAACCTTTTCGGTGGTATAGTGGTTAGCATATAAAGCTGTACTAGCGAAGGCTTTTTGTTCGAATTCTGAGTTGGGTCAAGATTAGTAATTTAGTTAAGAAAGCCCCAGTAACAGCCCGGAAGTCAGCGGTGTTTCACCCCTGAGCTTCGGAGAATACGTAAAACTGTCGGTCCTGCGCTTTAACTCTCACCGGTCGTATGGAATTATCGTCCCATTGCAATTTGAGAAGAACAAGACTAGAGAGTGTACTTGTGTCTGCGTGTACATGCGCTGCACTATAATATCTCCTGTGTACTTGGCTAGTGTCAGTGAGATTTCTCATCGTGGCCGAAATTGGTCGGAATCATAAATACTTTCCATATAAATCAAACCCGCAGTATTAGTCTTAGCCATCTACTACTACCAGTGACTTCTCTAGCACAAGGGTGCTAAAGAAAAATATTTAAAAACATTAATATTAGCATTAGAATAAGTCCAATGCTAATATTAATGTTTTTAAATGTTTTTCTTAGATTTAAATTATATAGAAACTTATTTAATAACAGCATAAAAAAACAAATCAAAATTCATTAAAAGAAATCTTTTCTTCTAAATGTATTCCAAATTATTTCTTTCAGTTATTATTCGCTAAGTATTAAAAGAAGTTTTTCCCTTACAATGCCTACGTGACAACTAAATATCCAATTTCCAATTTTAACTCAGTTTTTGTTATCGGCCATACAATAGTGACGTAAGATGAACGTGACGTAAAACTAAATCTATACATATTTGTATAAAAATTTCTAACAGAGTCGAATCTGTACTTTATATTTTTTTTTTGGAAAATCTTATTGCAATAATTATTATTATAGATACAGAGGCTGAATCTATAGTTTTTAGATTTTTAGGTTGTCTGTCTGTCTGTCTGTCTGGAAACGCATCTCGAAGAAATCACCGGACAGAGTTTGATGTTTGGTATGATGATAGCTGGGTATCCGGGTCAACATATAGGACACTTTTTACTGCGTTAAAAATATCTAATCTCTGAGGAATCTATACTAAACTTTAAAACGTACCTACACTAGTATCCTATAATTTTGGTAAGAAATAAAGAATATCGGCGTGTATGACAAATCTAGGTAAAATGGGGAATGATTTCAAGTTTTTTATAGTACTTACCTACTTTTTTTATACCAATGTAGTATATCTGTTCCATACTAATCGTTTTTTTTTATAATAATTAAAAAAGGACCATAATGAACGAGAAAAATATACAGTCGAATTTCGTTATAAAAATATAGCAATGTACAGAAAGAGGCATTACTATTATATATTTTTTTTATATTTAATATATAATTTAGTACCCAGAACGAACAGATATGTAGAGTCGTTATTGGGTGTCTTAATTTAAAACAATGACTGTTAAACGTGGACTTGTTTGAATTTTACTATCGTAGTGTTTTTGTGGCCATGACTCGAATGCAAAAACCGGTCAGCATTCTAGTTTCTGTGCTATTTTAAATTTTTGTATGTCTATCTAGGAAAAGCAGGTTTATATTCTACGTTAATTGTAAATTGTTTCTAATAATTTATTAATTTGATTGAGCTATAAGTATTTTGTTATTTTAATATAATTTTCATTAAGATTTGATAGTATAAATCCAAAAAAAAATATAATCAAAAAAGAACCCGCGGCTTCGCTCGCGCTAAAACTACAAATAAAATCTCTAAAAAGGCAGGTTTCATACAAACTTTAATCCCCTATTATATCCTCTTAGGGGTTGAATCTAAAATGCTGAAATACGTAACTCATTATTTTTGCTGTACTTAATTCATACGAAATTTCATGCAAATATGTCCAAGGAATAAAAAGTTTCATACAAACTTTTATCGCCTATTTCACCCCCCTTGGTGGTTGAATTTTGAAAAATCCTTACTTAGTCGTCATATGAGGAATACGTGTGCGAAGTTTTATTTAATATTATATTTATAATTATATTTATTTAAGTGATGAAACTTACTCTTTGCAGATTCAAATGTGTGGGATTACTATTAGTTAACACTCACATAGTATAAGAACAACACAAGCTCTTCTCAGAAAAACTGCCTTCAAAGATAGTATATATATATATATATATAGATAGCCTCACTGACTAAAATATTAGAGTTTAATTTAAATTTAAAATAACATTGATTATTCAAAAGTGCTTGTATAAGTAAATTTGAATAAAATATATTTTGATTTGATTTGTTTGATGCAAGATTATACAACGTTACGTAACTATTCCAACTTCCTTTTATTAAGAGACAAAAGAAACACACTATAATTAATTGTTTTGATATACTTCCTCCATGTTACTTCTTACTAATATTATACTCGTAAATGCGAAAGTTTAGATGTTTGGATGAAGGTTTGTTCTCAATCACGCATAAACGGCTGAACGGATCTTGATGAAATTTGGCACAGAGATAGATTATAGTCTGGAATAGCACACAGGCTCCTTTTTATCCCGGAAAAAGTATATATTTTCATTATTTATCTTTATTTTATCTATGATTATAGTAATAGTGAATTCTAAACCTACTGATATAATATAGTAATTTTTAAAGGCTAACATAAATAAGAGCTCTACTTTCAGTATTGCGCAATGCTTTGCTACGGAATACCTACAAGCCACCTCTTTAGCCTCCATTACGGTATGTTTATCAAGGTGCTGAAAGATAAAAACAGAACATAACCGTGATACAGAGTGAAAATAAAATACGCATTCTAAGACGCGATTTACCTAAATATTTTCCTTACGTCGCTCCTCAGCTACGTGCCGACTGAGTTTTTTTACTAAATCTCCAAAAATCCTTTCATCGCTAATAAGATTGTAGGCATATCCTATATCCTGATATAAGAAAAGCTACAATCTTAAAAGCTAAGTTGCATTATATAAGTTTAAATTTTATCATTTGTTTTTGTTTTATACATTTTTAAAAATCATAAATTCAAAGAAAAGAGTTTTTGGAATTTTTGTGTGTCTGTCTGTAAACGCATCACAAAAAAATAACTGAACAGATTTTGCTGAAATTTGGTATGAGGATAGCTGGTTATCAGGGTCAACATATAGGATACTTTTCACTACGGCAAAATATCTCATCTCTGAGAACTCTATACTAATCGTTAAAACGTTACTAGAACAACGAACCCGAGCAGAGCGAGAGTGAGTCGCTAGTGTGTAATAACTGTAAATACTTTCATATATTTTGATTACGTTGTTCATATGAAGCAGATATATTATTAGAATATACGTAATGGGTCGATGGCCTCAGAATTTGGCTTGTAGTCGCTTGATTGTTTGAATTCAATATTTGAAATCTTCAACTCAAGGTTATAGGTATTTTGGCACAAACTGTAATATTAAAAATTATTGCTAATGTTATATGGAAATTTAACGCTAAAATTGCTCTGCTGTTATAAATGTGAAAGTTTTTCTGTGTATTTTGTTTGTTCACGCTGAAAAGGCTGGACGTATTTGGATGATATTTAATGCACAGATATAGATTATGACTTGGAGTCACACATAGGCACCCAGAGTTGCACTTAAGCGAAGCTCGTCGCTCGTAATAGTAGCATATACGTGCAAACTCTATTATAGAGTAAGCAGAGACTAGCTTTTTATTGAGCTTTTTGCTGATATAAAGTCGAAATAGCAGCTTTTGATTGCGCATAATTTTCTTAACGAGACCTTGAAATGTAAATAGCAAATTCAATCCCTCTTTTTAATTAGAACTATATATTTTAGTTTGTTATCATGCGATTTTAGATAAAAACGTCAAAAAAATCTGTACATAATATAAATTATGATACTTTTACATTTAAAAATATATCATCTCATTACTTCTCCTGAAAGATGGAGACCTATCTCTATAGTGAATTTCATCAAAATCAGCTAAGCAATTACGCTTT